TTGCTCTCCTTTCCGTCAAAATCACATATTTATGTTTTAAACGGTTTCATAGAATGTTTACTCGGATGAATTGCAGATTTGTTCAATGCCTATGTGTATGATTGAGAGGTGTGTGTGTGTCGAGATAGAATCTAAAATAAACATGCAATCGAATAACGGAAAGGTCAGAATCAAGGTGATGAAGAAATACGTTTTGTGGATACCAAAAGGCTACCCATCCACTGGTTGTAATCGCTTGAGTAATGTTGAGCTTATTCACATCATCATCGGTGTGGATCACTCGAAATAATTTTCCTCAACGCGATTGACGTAGCTGATAGTGCACTAACCGTCCACTGGTTCTTTTTGTTTAACTAATCTGGTAAATTTCGAATAGGTGCAATGAATTGAACAACAGAATTCACTGCCTAGGGACTAATTTCTTGATGATCAACAATAAGAAATGAATGTCCTACATCCTTTTGCATTTATTGATTATAAAAATATACAAAACATTTTAGGGAAATGATCCACTGTCATAAAAAGACTGCTTCGAGAAATAGAGAAACGAGGGAAGTTGAAAATCCTCAGTCATACCTGCCCTGTGCTTGACTATCATTTTAATGTAACCCATCACAGTGAGGTGGGAATCGGTCCGGCTTGTTCCGGTTATTGACCAACCGGGGTTCTTCTCCAACTTTACATGCGCCCATTGACTAGGAGAAGAAAATTGATGGATTACTCCGATTCGGTTGGCCACGAACGTATTGAATCGAGTATTCGTGTTTCGTATGTAGTAGAGTACAATCATAGAGTGCGTCCAGAATCGAACCTCATCGAAATAACTTGACAGACTCCTTCTCAGCATACCACAGATGCGCGCGCCCAACGCAGCCGCTGCTAGCTCCATTCGAGGTATCCTCACGGATTTAATGGGTGCCACCCTCGATTTACTGTAGAACAATAGACGATAGGGGGACCTTCCGTTGGGAGTGTGCCGGACATAAGCAACTGCACCATAGCCGGATTCCAAAGCGTCGCAAAATATGTGCAGTTCGGTTTTCCCTGTTTGCTGCGGATCCTCTTTGCGTATAGTCTTTGGAATGCTGATTTTCCCGGGTCGACAAGTGAACGCTATCAACTCATCCCACAAGTGAGAATACTCGGATATCAGCGGCTGATCCCAACCTAACTGGGCTTTACACAGGCGTTGTAACAATTGTTTAGCAGGTAGGCTGAATGGTGCGATTAGTCCAAGTGCAGTGTCTGTAGTGTCTTCTACCCCGGAGTCTGGGAGGGACGTCACCACCAACGGCGAGTTCGACAACCACTTTCTCAAATTAAACTCTCCTCGAAGTAACATCTCGCTTATCTCTCTCGTAAAGGGGGATGCTTGTTCGCTGGACGTAGATGATATAAGACAATCGTCGACGTAAAAGTTGTTTTCTATTGCTTGAGAGACTGAGAGAACGTAGAACACCGCAAAGGTTGAAACGGTCTTGCACAGCGCGAAGTTAGAACAGAAGGGGGATGACGTAGCACCGAACGGATGAGACAAAATTTGGAACTCTGTAATTTTTCTGTTCACATCTCTTCCTGTCCACTCGAGGTAACGTAATGCACCTCTGTCTTCCTCTGGCACATTCACCCGCATAAACATTTCCTCAGAATCGGCCAACAACGCAATACGCTCCTTGCGAAACCGAAGGAGTATTGAGACAAGGTTCGCCGTAGTGCCAAATCCTTGTAGCACCATACTGTTCAATGACTTGCCTATGTACTTGGCGGTGCAGTCTAATACTATACGGATCTTATCCGGTTTCTTTGGCTTGATCACGCCACGGTGCGACAGATACCATTTCGGCGGATATTCTTCGTAAAGCTGGTAGGCAGGGACATGGGTCACATACCCCTTATCCATCATTAGTTTCATCGATTTTACTTACCTGTTTCGTAGGGCTTCGTCGCGTACCAAATGGCACTTAAGTTGATTCAAACCGACCAACACCGATTCATAATTTCCCGAACNCGCCTTTCTTCCACGGAAGAGACACTACGAAATGACCCTCGGTGAACCGCGTTCCGTTTTTCACCATCCGGATGGCTTCCATCGTAGGTGCAAGCCTGTGGGTAGCCTCACGGTCATCTAACGGGTCTCCTTTCAGCAGATCATCGTGCTCGAATCGGGGCTGTCCTAAGCTGGTGTAAAGAATCGGCAGACGAATGAAGGGAGTTCGCAGAGTCCGCGCGAACGGTTCCTCTAGATGAGCCCAACCTTTGCTGCAGATCTAAGAGTTCTTCCCGTTACTTTTCTTGCAAGTGTCTTAGCTCCATTTCTTGTCGCTCTTTCAGATGCCTCTGTTTGAACTCTAACAATTGAGGTGTATCATTTAGACGACTAGTGTACCGACTAACCCCACAAACACGAGAGCCATAAACCGGAAAACCAAAAAGAGGGACTTGCCGGGGATTGTCGGTGACGCGGAGTTTCCCGGCAGCACCAGTTTCCGAAGTCGATTTTCCACTTCGTGTGACTGGCATTGTAAAAGGATTTCCCATTAAACACACCTCAGGAACCTGGAGTCTTGTTGAGTACTGTAAACACCAAAACGACTTGTTCTGGCTCGACCGTAGCCCGAGTGTAATCGACTATTCCACGATCGTTCTGCATAGTGTCAATGAGACCGTTGAGCAACGCGTAGCGAACTGCGAACCCCGAAGTCAGAACGATATTGATCCGCAATGCGTACGGTATTGTTTATTGCATTAGGCGAATCAAAAAGAACAACTATCTCAACAATGTGACTCAGTCGCTATACAGCCAAAAAGGTGAGTTCAAACAAATGGATAGGGACCTGATATAAAGACAAGGAAATAAATATACAAAGAGGGAACATAAATACCTGTTAGGTCGAGCAAGGGATTCTGTTCATTTAACGTGAACAGCCAAGATAAACTAAAACAAATCGACAATGATCTGTTTGCCACGGGGAGAAATTCTGTTCNNAGCAAGACAACGAATGACGCCATAGGGCCAGTGATGGGGCATATAGGGACTGGGGCGGCTATGGATCGGGGCAATGAAACACCAAAGCGACGTTAGTGCACAGGACAATGACACGGGCGGGATCGATAGGTAGACACACAAGGACATTAGACACGAGAATCCGACATCAAACAACCATAGATACGGGGTGATCAAGTTCAAATCAAGAGTGACAAAAGAGAACGTAAAATGGTCTCATGAACAATGTAGAAAACGGTATTCGCGAAGTAATTTTTTTTCGATATATCGCATCAGGCGTTTACATATATAAGGTGATCCCAATACAGATGTCTGATTGGCCGATTAGAGCTCATTTAGTAACGAAGATAGAGGCGAGCAAACAGATCAAAAGAATATGACAAGGCTAATTAGATAGTCGTGGGTGGGGTAAGAACACACAGGTCAAATAGACAAACGTTCGAGAGATGAGCAGATTAAAATGAAGGTTGTGAGCTAAGAGAGGAGAGCGGGATGAAGTCACGTAAGATACGGCAGAAACTATAGGTGATGTAATCAGGAAGGGACATAAGAGACAAAAACACGAAAATTAGTTCTTAAGATTGAGATTGGTGATACTATAGGCGAAGAAAG